TTTTCTCTGGCTTATCCCCAAGCCGGAAAGAAGCGGCAGCCATGTAAATGCAAATGCTGCAGGGGATATTTAAATCCCCCGCAGATTTGCAATTGCGATGTGTCTCATTAGCATCCCTTTTCCAGAAAGGGAGGCCAATGTAGACACAGCCAGGGTGTGTATTTGCCTGTCTAAAACCGGGCAGTCAGCTACCAGAGACTGCAGCTTGTTTCTCTCTTTTCTTTTTTCAAGCTCTTTTGAGGCAAAAGAGCATGGGGTACCTCTGGGGAAGGAATTCAAGTGTTCCTGCCTGTTTTTTGGGTGAGAACACTTGATGGTGGCAGCTTTTTGGGTTTTTATTTTCTCAGAGCTAGTGCATCTGTATCTCTCCAGGGAGCTTGTCAGGGCACTCAAAGTACAGAAGCTGGGGGTCTGCAAAGACCTTAAATACCTTGCCTCTATAGGCCCTTCCCCTGCTTGTCACAAGAAGTTCCTGGCTCCAAATGATTGTCCTGGCTCCAGTGTATCCCTCAGTGTAAAGGGATCTTGGACAGAACTGGGCTGACAGATTAAGGCTGACTCAGCCCCATCTTTCTCCAGCTAGAGAGAGAGAAAGAGAGAGAGAGTGAACTGTCTGTGTGATGTTCTACCTTTGAAGTTGAATGAACTAGACCCATAGGGGTGCTGTTCAACGTAGAAGCCTCACTAAAATCCTCACTCACAGAAATATGCAATGGCAGTGCTGCCACACGCCACCAGGGGGAGAGTCTCCATTCAGGGTCCTATGAGAATGAGGTTCCCAAATACTGTACTACTGAACAAGCCTCCTTTGAAAAGGAGGCTCGTTTGCACACTACATTATAAAAATTGGTCATTCTTTGTTTGTATTCTCACTGCCTGCCCCTTTGTAGGTTGCATGTTGTCTTAGGGCTCAATCCTGACAGGTGCTGAACATTCTAGCCCTGATCCACCAAAGCCCTTAACCATGTGAGCAGTTCCATGGCACTGTATAATTTAGTATAATGGAGTTTGGTAGCCTGGACAACACCTTATTAGAAATCATAATAGTAACTCATGCTGGACGCTGGAAGGAGGAACACAGCTGGCAGCCTGGCTGAGAGTGATGGGATCAGCTGCACGGCTAGAGGACCTGGGTCTGGTGGCCTGATGATATGGCAAGGGCAGCTGCATAAAACTCTGTTAGGGGAGGAGGCAGGTAAACATTAATATTTTGTCTTTGTTTAACATATTGTTAAATCCTGGCTCATCACTGGCTGAAAACATACCTGGAATGAGACATATCAGTGGGCTAATTCCATCCAGACAGCAGTACATGCAAATATGCCATGTATGATGAGTGTTCTAAACTGGGGAAATACTCCTGTCCATTAATTCCCTGCTATTGCACTTGTGTGCACCAGGTGTCAGCACTATTTCTATTTCATTATAGATCTGAGAATATGCTTATAGATTGGTATGTCCTGCACAAGCAACTTTCTTAGATTTAGTCTATACTGGGAACTTGCGCTGGTCAAACTCATCCCCCTGACACACATGTCCATGCTGGCATAACCCCCAGTATAGATAGTGTGACGTGAATGGAAGATTTCTCCTGTCAACTTAGCTATCTCCTCTTGAGGCTCTGGGTATGCATGCTGATAGGAGAACTCCTTTTGTCAGAGCCATGCATCTGACGAAGTGGGTCTTTGCCCATGAAAGCTTATGCTCCAACACTTCAGTTAGTCTATAAGGTGCCACAGGACTCCTCGCCGCTTTTGCAGATTCAGACTGACACGGCTACCCCTCTGATACTTGGTTCCTTTTGTCAGAAGAGTTGTAAATCTACATGGAAGTGCTTCAGCAGTGCAGCTCCAGCTATGCTGCTTGTAGCTGTTTAAATATAAACATGCCATTAGTTATGGGCAATGCTGTGGTCTGAAATAGAACCAATCAACAATAACAGTAACAATAATAATTTATTCCAGCACAGCCACACAATCCTAATCAAGGATCGGGTCCCTATTAAGTTAGGTGCTGTACAGACATTTAACAAAGTCTGTGCTCCAGAGTGCTTACAGTCTAGGTATTAAAGCGGAGGCAACAATTGTATGAAACAAAGATGTTGATGAGGGTTAGGTAACAATAAGAGTTTAGCTGAAAAGCCTTAGTTGCAGCTGGCTGCTTACTTAATCGGTGCTACCGGTGGCAATCTCTAAGCTTTGAGGCAGAAGTTGGTGTTAAGGAGAGATTTGAAAGAGGATAAGGTGGTGAGTTTATGAAGTGTGATGAGAAGGTTTTTCATGCATGGGAGGAAGTGTGGAGGTGATCATGAGAGAAGCGGACATGGGCAGCCAAACCTGGGCTGGCTGATCATGAGAGAAGCGGACATGGGCAGCCTGGGTGGCATCACTAACAGCCTAGTGTGCAAATAATTGCAACTTAATCCTCTTCTAATGGTGTCTGGGTGCTCCTCTTTGCTTTCTGATTGGCGTATCAAACGCGAATATAATTTTGCTGAAGCACTATCTTCTTCTGACCCTTTTGAATGTTGACTTAAAAGGAGCAATCACTCTTCTTTTGAAACTCCTTTCCTTATTGGATTTACCAGTATTTCTGATGAAGACATGGAGAATACAACAGTAATGCATATCTCACTGAGTATCAAGATTGATTATTTTTGGAGGCCTGGGTCAATATTTACCTCGTCTGTCAATAACCCTGATTTTCATTTGTAAAGGACTTGATGTGTGCTTGTAAAAGCAATCTAACGTTCCATGGAAAATGGGGATATACTTAGCACCTCTTACATGATGCTAAAGAGATGGATTAGCTTGGCGGATTAGACTATGTGAAATAGGTTATTTACAATATTTCATTTTATGGGGATATATGCAATGTCATAACGATGTGCAGTAACTACTAGTGTCATAGCATGGTTATGTTTTTCTGAAAATTACATAGTACAGACTTCAAGATTAAAGAAACAAAGATGAATTGCTTGGTAAGGTTCAGGTTTTAGATCTCAGAGGATAATGCTGAAGTGTAGAAGAAAAGAAAACTGACAAAATGCCCTATGATTAATCATAGAATCATAGGGTTGAAAGAGACCTCAGGAGGTCATCGATTACATTGTAAGATGCAAGTAGGATCCTGAGCTGCCATAGCATCATTCAGAGGTGGCACGAAGTTCTTCATTCTGCAAACAAAGCCACAGTAACCTCCCTCTCTTCTCTGAATCCTCCAGGATCAGTTGGAATGACAGAGCCTAAGAAGAATCACAACTGATCAACAGGGTTTGGCATTCATTATGGGCATGCCCTATAGCCCGAGAAACTCTGAGAAGTTGTGAAAAGGGTGTTTCTTTAGCAATTGGCCAGTCCACCTCTGTTGCATATTGCCATTTAAAAGACTAGAATCCTTCCTGTATTGTGCTCAGGTTTCCCCCCCCCCTTCTTTTCTGATCTCCAGGTATTCTGCGACTATCATGGCCATTCCCAGAAGAAGAATGTGTTCCTCTATGGCTGCAGCATCAAGGAAACCTTGTGGCAGGCAGGTTGCACCATCAACACAGCCATTGTCACAGAAGACGTTGGCTACAGGGTGAGACTTCACATTATAGTACACAGCTACTGTGCCCACATGTACACAATCAATCACTCTGAAAGGCTGTTCTTAGAGTTGTTATCAAGGGTTTGCTGTCAGACTGTATCTAGTGGGATTCCATCGGGGGCTGTCCTAGGTCTGGTATGGTTAATATTTGCATTAATGATTTGGATAATGCAGTGGAAAGTATGCTCACAGGGATCTAAGGGGGCAGTTGCCCTTGGTCCCTGCAATTTAAAACGGTCTGGGGCTGTGGACCACAATTGCCTCTACCACAGCAGCAGTGACGGCTCGAGACCCAGCCCCTTTAAAAAGTGCTGCTGGAGCCCCACGCTGCTCTGAGGGCTGGCTGCCCCTAAATCTGCCCCTTAGGTCCAAGTCCCATTCGGTCTGCCCCCCATTTCCCAAGGCTCAGCGAAGTCTGTTGCTGGAGAAGTCTGTTGCCAGACCTGCTTATGAAATTTCAGGTGGCATCAAAGTGAGTGGTTGCTAGAACTCTTCAGGACAGGATTTTGAATTTAAAATGACCTTGGAAAATGATCTGAAATCAACAAGGTGATATTCAATAAAGGCAGGTGGTGCAAAGTATGACACTTAAAAAGAAAACAAATCAAATGCACAGCTACAAACCGGGGAATAACTAGGGAAAAAGAGCTGGTTGTTATAGCAGATCACAAATTGAATATGAATCAACTGTGTGTTGCAGTTGCAAAAGAGGCCAATGTCATTCTAGGGTGTATGAACAGGAATGTTGTGCATAAGACACAAAAGGGAATTGTCTCGATCTATTCAGCACTGCTGAGGCTTCAGGTGGAGCACTGTTTGGTTCTGTGCATGAGACTTTAAGAAAGATACAGACAAATTGGACGTTACAGAGGAAAGCCACATAAATGATCCATCTGATTTCGGAGGAAAGATTAAAAAACATGGGCATATTTAGTCTTGAATAAAGACTGAGGGGAGACCTAATAACAGTCTTTAAATAAGTTAACAGCTGTTATAAAGAGGATGGTGTTAAATTGCTCCCCATATCTAGTGAAAGTATGGCAAGAAATAATGTGTTTAATCTACAGCCAGAGAGATTCAGGTTAGATATTAAAAAATCTTTGTAACTATACGGGGAATGAAGGTCTGGAAGAGGATTCCAAGACAGGTTGTGGAATCTCCATTGTTGGAGGTTTTTCAGAGCAGGTTGGACAAACACCTGTCAGGCATTGTCTAGATTAACTTGGTCCTGCTTCAGTAGAGGGGGCTGCAAAGTCCTGCAAGGCCATGAGGTTCCTCTCGTGTTACATTTTTATGATTAGGGAGGGGTCCAATCAACAATGTTTGGAGCTGGGTGTTAACTTCCCCAGACTTCAGAGGAAAGCAGACCTGGGAGGATGCACCCATCTCTAAAATGTAGGTGCACCAAATATTAGTCAAATATTAGTGAACATGCCCCCTAATAAATGGCCACAGATATTTGCCTACATGGGCAGCCCTTTTTTCTTGTGAGTAAACCACACACTTTCATAACTTCATTCATTTAACCCTTTATGTACTAGATAACACTGCTCATGTTGTCCAATAATTCTCTTGCCTTGTTTTTAAAAGTGTCATGTCAAAATAAAAATCAAGAGCTTGATTCATCACTATGCTACTTCAGTTTTACCCAGCATGGCTTCATTGAAAGCCATGTAGATACACTGGTGTCACACTGGAGTAAAGTAGCATTGGATTAGACCCTGTAATGGCTAGTGTAGAAATCACTTTCATAAGTATATGTATTATGCCTTTATCTTAGTATTAACTTATCATCTGATATCTTTGTTATTGATCTGACCTGGGGTTTTAGCAGGAAGTTCAGTCCTACGTATATGTGCTATAGTTGATACTTACAGTGTTCCAATAAATCTGTGATTCTGTAAGTTAATATTACAATACAGTTCCCCTTATGTCTTTCCTGTGACAGGATTCTTAAAATAGAACCCACTGAAAACTTCTGCTCTTTTAAATGGACCATTTATTTCCTATTCATACTCCATTATATTCACTATTAGAGAGTGAAACCAGACATAGTATTTTTGCTCTCTGTGTTTAGTTAGCCTGGGGTGGACAATAAAATGATGGCACCTCCCGAAGCTCCTATTGGCCAGGAACAGTGATCCGTGGCCAATGGGAGCTTCAGGCACCCATACCTGTGGAGGCGCAGATAAATTCAGCATCAGTGGCCTGTCAAGAGCTAACCCTGGCGAACCGAATACAGCCCATGTGCTGTATTTGCCGGAGGCCTGAGTTAGCCTCACTGTCTATTTTTCAGGCACCAGCATCTCTCTGTTGGTTTGTAGTTTCAGACAATTCAAAGGAATGCATAATATTTTAAAATCTTCCTGTTTTCAATGAAACTTTTAAAAAGTTGTCTTAAAAATAATTCTGTTTGTATTAGGGAAGGAGGGTTGTCTAGTGGTTAAAATAGGAGAATGGAACACAGATCTAATAGATTCTTTTCCCAGGTCTGCCACTGATTTGTGTGATTTTTGGAAAGCCACTTCACCATTTCATGTCTGTCTTCCCATCTGAGCTATAATTCACTTAAGACTTCACTGAAAACTAAATCAAAATGTTCATCAGCATTGGATTTCCCGCTCAGAATTTGAGAAAGCTAGGCTTAGATCCACACAAGGGTCAGGTGTGTGGAGCTGAACAAATCATTTTTTTCAGTTCAGTAACTGCATCAAAAAATTCTGTGCATTTCAAACCGAAACTGAAGTTTTTTATTTCTGGACCAAACAAAAAAGTTCATTTGGGTCAGATGAACTGTGGTGAGTGGCAATTCAAAATGAAATGTTGAAATGGTTCATTTAGAAAACATCAACATTAATTGTTTTAATATTTCCAAAATTTTTGTTTGTAGGGTTTTGTTTTCACGTGAAACTATCCACTGATAGTTTGGGTGCCCCGAAAAAGGAATTTTTCTATGAATTTGTAGTTGGCTGAAAAAAATCTTACCCTCCTTTTGTATAGAATAACTAGCATGAGTTGATGGAGCTGCACAAAGCCCCAAGGCCAGACAAGTAGTAGAGACAGTGAGGTAAAAAGACAGAGGATAGATGTCTTTTGACATTGCTGCATTGTAAACAGTACTCATGACCAAGAGTCTTTGGGTGCGTCTACTTGTCAAGCAGGATCCCACTGCGGCAAGTCTCAGGGCCTGGGGCTTGTGCTAATGTATTTAAATAGGTGTGTAGATGTTTGGGCTCGGGCTCTGAAGCTCACACCTCTTCCCTAGGAAACAGCCTTTGAGCATTTAGCCTGAACCTGATACAGCTACTTTTAGTACTGTAGCTTGATCCCAAGACCTGGGTTCTGAGACTTGCTGTGGGATCCTGCTTGCTATGCAGACAGACCCTAAATAGCCATCTGATGGCATTTTGGTGGCCAGTGGGACACTAGCTGATGCTCTCTGTCCAGTTCCAAAATTCGTGTCTTAATTAGCCCCCTTGATAGTACTCTTCGGCAGAGAGGTCTGTGAATGAATAGATCATTGAACCTAACTCTCCTTTCTGCCAGGCTGGATGGAGGGGGCAGTTTGTGCTGCCTCGTGAATGAAAAGGAGACCTCACAGTTAGATTTCTGCCTTGTCATAAAGAGGTCTCTTATGGTTTGTTTTAAAATGTAAATTAAATGTCAATTAACAAGAAACCTAAATAGAGAAAAAAGACCCCTTAGTGTGACATCCAAAGTTGCTGCTAAAGTAATGAGAATATTAAATTCAGCTTTGCTAATTTTCACAAACGAGTCCTAGACATGCTGACATTATTGTCGCCTGCCAGACTATTTAATTAAACGAAAAAGATTGATTATACCTACAGTGTCCATTGTTTTAAGAAATTAAATTGGATTGGAAATCAGTTTATTACGGTTCATATATACAAGCCTATAAAACTGTGTGTTGGTTCAGATAAGGGCAAGGTGAGAACTAGCTCAAACATTCATACCGTTGCTGAGTAATTTTCACATAGTTTTGCTGAAGTTTATACATTTGGTTGGGGTATATTTTAATTCCTAATTCTGAAGGCTCATCTGAATTTTCGGATGCTGAATTTTATGTGTTCATTTACTGTGTGTGACTATCAGAAGAGCAGTCTTGTAGCTAAAGTAGATTATCTTAAATTTTGAGCTCTATTCCTGGCTCTTCCACTGATTGGCCATAAAACCTTGCATCACTCCATGCCTCAGTTTCCCCACTTTTAAATTCACAGGGGACTTGTGAGTGTTACTTCATTAATAGCTATACAGCCCATTGAGCACTTCATTTAAGAGATGCTAGGAAAGTGATGATGTTGATGATATACAGAATTAATGTTGTTAAAGGGGATATGATCCAAATATTTAGGCCAAAAAAGTTTATGGTTTATCTAAGAATGTTCTAGAAAACCTAATATTAATCTTTTTTCAATCCCAGTTAAGCCAAATATCCCCCTTCAGTGTTGTGAATCCAAGCTCAACTGACTTCTAAACAGAAAGTGAAATGGATGGATCAGATTTCACCACCTCAAAGGAATAAAATGAAAAGTAAATGGCATCAAAGGAGAGAGCCCATTCTGTAGGAATCTGTTCAGTTCGATAGTCTAAAGTGGTGATAGTTACACAGGCAAAGAAAATGTGCCCCTAATTTTAACACTGAAAGAGTGAAATATAATCCTGCTATACATAGTACTCATTTATATTAGCATAGAATTCGCACCATAATTTCAGACTTGATGGTCCTCATTTAAACACTCTTTATTTTTGGGGGGGAAAGGGGAGAATTAAATGACTATCTAAAGGCTTAATTGTAGTGTACATATGAGTTGTTTTTCATCCCCCTTTTTCTCATATGGGCTGGGAATCCTGAGGGATTATATTTCTCAGGATGCAACACATCCTTCTCCAACCAAGCATCATGAGGGTTATATGATTACAGATACATCATGGGAGATTTAGCTAACCGTGGAATATAGGCTCAGAGGGGAGCGTGGCACATCAGGTCACCAGATGAATTGTTTCAGGTCAGTTCAACAAACAGAAACTCACCCTTTTGAGTCACAGATGTTGAACTGTTTCATTTGAATTGAAAATCTTTCAATTCAGTGTTTCAACTTTCATTTCCTATACAGGATAAAAACAAACAGTGAAATTTTTTAATTTCCCAGGGGATGGAAATTCTAAATTTTGTTCAACTCTATTGGTGCTCTCTAAATAATAATTACATAACTCTTTGTCTAATTCATGTTCTTATTCTTGTGTGATTCTTGCTTTGCAGGCCCTCCCAAAAATCCTGGATAAAGTGGCACCTGCATTTGTCATGAGCAGTTGCAGCTTCCTGGTGGAGAAGTCACGTGAATCGACAGCACGGGTAGTAGTGTGGCGGGAGATTGGTGTGTTGAGGAGCTACACAATGGAGAACACCTACTGTGGCTGCAACCATGGGCTCTACAAGGTCAGTACCCCTGTCTGGGAACCCATTCCTATTCTTGCTTCTTTTATGAAACTTACTTAGGCCTTACCTGAACTTACCTGCACCATCAATCGAATTCAGCTACACAAATACAGAAGCTATATTAAAGGCAATCAGGTGTTCCAGAAAGATGTATGTTGCCTCTCTTTATTAAACTTTGTGCCCTCATCCAAAACTCCTGAAACAGCAGCTGGAAGCCTGCATAACTTCATTGATGGTATGAGACTGGTATAATGGAGTTTTGAATCAGGTGCTGTGGCACGAGTGGTTAGCATGATGTGACTGGAATGATTTGACATCTCTGTGCTGTGTATTATAATCTTATTGTTGGCAAGGGATTCCCACCGAACCAGTGGGAAATAAAGCCATCATATAAATTGTATAACATTCCTAACTATATTACTAATGACGCCCACAGTGACAGGGAAAAATGTGTGCTCTCTCCTTGCTCTGTGCTTACATCCTGCAGGTGTAGCCTACATAAAAGAGCCTGTGACATTGGGCTCTGTCAAGCTCGGTCTTATTTTTTAAAGGAAAGATGATGGGTTGATTGTTTTAGTTTACTCTGAGCCTCCCTAACACAGGGAACATCAACTGTTTCCCCTGTCACAGTCTATAATGTCTCTCCTTGTACTTGCTAAAGAAATTATCTGCATCCAAAGTAAAACCTAGAATCTTTGAGTTTGTTCCTAACATACAGACATCAGCATCCACTATCAAATAATGATAAGATGAAAGAGCATTCTGGGTAATGTTATGGAAATGAGAACACTGATCTTGTTCATGACCACGTGGAGCCATTGTTTTTTATCAATAGGTTTTTAAAACTGTTTTTTACAGTTTGACATACTGTAGCAAACCTGTCCTGATCTTGTCAGGCCCAATGCAAGTACCCAGGGCTTGGTCTTATAAAAGGGACCCTGTGCAGATACAGAATTTTGTGTCCACATCTGTAGCAGCAAAAATGAGCTGTGGATATTCACATCTGTGGATGCAAATACCCATGGTTATATAGCAGATCCCCACAGATTTGCAGGGCTCTACTCAGAAAGATATTTTGTGCAGGCTACCTCCAAGAAAAACACAGCTTGCTGCAGGCCTGGCAGGAAGTGGTGGGATGGGATCTGTCAGGGGTGCTTTTCTCTCCAAATCCGTTTTGCTCTAATATTACAACCTGGAGCTTAAAGGAATGCTATGCCAAAGGAAGAATTGTTATTGATTTACTAGGGACACTTTTCCTTCTCAGTCAGTGCTGACTGTAGCCCCCATCAACGTTCAGGGGGTACTCCTGATAGAGGCACTGTGAGTATTCAATGAAACACAAATGCTCTGATTGCTCATGGCTATTAACAATCTTGAGGAATTTTTAACAAGAGTAACTTTATTAACTCCAGTAATTATATTCTGCTGATTTGATCTTTCCATTCAGTATGGCCAGGATTTCACCCAAATATCTATAGTAATTCAGTTTGTCTATACTAACCCCCTACTTCAAACTAGGGAGGCTAATGTAGGCATTTGAAGTTGCAAATGAAGCCTGCGATTTAAATATCCCGGGCTTTATTTGCATGGTCCCATCCGGTCACCATTTTTAAATTCCACTAGTCCAAGGTAACTGCCCTCAGCTACATGCGGCGGTGAAATGGTAATTCGAACTAAGTCCTTAGTTCGAATTAACTGTTATACCTCATTCCATGATATTTAAATCCCAGGCTTAATTTGCAACTTCGAATGCCTACATTAGCCTCCCTAGTTCGAACTAGGAGGATAGTGTAGACATACCCTCAGTGTACCCTAACACCAGGCTGGGACACCAAAGTCAAGATCATTTTCTGCTGAATCACTATCCATACTAGCTGTATCACCCAGGTGGTCCATGACCCAACAGTGTTTAGTTTGTGAGGTCTGATGTAATCTCAACTTGAGGTGATAGGACAGTAAGAGTATGTCTAGACTACATGCCTTTGGCGACAGAGGCATGTAGGTTAGGCTACCCGGCATACTAAAATGAAGCGTCAATTTAAATAATCGCCGCTTCATTTAAATTAAAATGGCTGCTGCGCTGTGCCGATCAGCTGTTTGTTGGCTCAGTGCACTAGTCTGGACGCTCCGCGGTCGACATCAAAGACACTTGTCGACCTCCCCACTTTGTCTCGTGGGATGAGGTTTACCGGGGAGGTCGACAAATGCCTTTGATGTCGACCGCGGAGCGTCCAGACTAGTGCACTGAGCCAACAAACAGCTGATCGGCACAGCGCGGCAGCCATTTTAACTTAAATGAAGTGGCGATTATTTAAATCGCCGCTTCATTTTCCTATGCTGGGTAGCCTACTCTACATGCTTCTGTCACCAGATGCATGTAGTCTAGACATACCCTAAGTGAAAAGCTCTATACGAAAGTTTCATACACGGAATAGCTTCAGTGCAGTTCTGTTTGTCTTTTAATGCCTCTTCTTCATTTTGGAGGTCTGAAGGCATTGTTGAGGAACCTCCTACATGCTGGATGGATGCAGCTTGTCAGGGTTAGCTGCTGGAGGACAGCTGTGTTTATCTTAGTGTCTGTGGGCACAGCCACTTGTAGCTCCCAGTGGTCAGAGTTTGCCATTCCCTCAGCTCCCATTGGCCAAAAACATTGAATTATTGAGAGTGGGTGTGCCTGTGGATGCTCAAGTGAACAAACCATCTGGTGGCCTGCCAGCAGCTAACCCTGAGGAACCGTGTCTGGCCTATAGGCCAGAGGTTCCCTACCTCTAAAGGGTACACAGAAATACCTGGCATTGCAGGACCTGGGTTTTCTTTAATCATCCTTTGAACTATATGAAATGCATCTCTATTTTTCCTTTTGTTTTTTTCCCTTTGTTTTCCCCTTCATCCCCAAGAAACTGAGAACTGCAGGTATCAAACATGGGAATAGGAGTAATTTTACATATGGATGTTTGTTGCAGGACAAAGAATCAAATCTGCTTTTTTTTTGTGAAAGCAGGATACAAATTTCTGTTCTTAACATCATGTAGATGATTTCTGTATCTTGGAAAGCTCAGTCCCAGTTGGATCATGAGGTTATTATTCTAAGGTCATCTTTCCATTTTTTGTTTATCGTTCCCATTTATTTGAAAGACAGAGGACACTTAAATATGCCCATAGGGGCATTTCTTCCTTCCATCATATGAATATAAATATTTTTGCAGTTTTTCCAGTTAAGGTAGCTTTAAAGTATAGATAGGTCAATCATTTCTCTCCCAGTAAACTAAGCACCTGATTTGTGAGAATTGAAATGATATATCATTCCTTACACTGACATTTATTTTGGAGTTGCATAAAAGATCATAAGCTAGTACCTTCAAATAATCAATATCAGTAGGCTATTTCCCCTTCTATTTATGATCTTTAACTAGGGTACATTTTTATTTGTTTGTTTCTTCTTTTTGACTTGGGTTCCTAGGACAATAGTTTCAACGTGGTGAACCTAAGATTTCATAGCAGAGTTTCCCAAGTCCTTTCCACTACAGATTCTCTCTCATTAGAATCGGACAGTCCTGAAGATCTTGGCACAGACTAAATAGAAATAATGTATAGGGCCACAATTGTCAAGAGCTGTCAATTTAGATTCTGGGTATGAGGCTGCAATTTTGGAGCCTCCACCTGCCATGTGTGAAAATTTCACAATTTAGAGAGGGGCCTGATTTGCAGGTGTAATCTGTCAGTTAGATATCTTCATCCAGCATGCATCTAAACGGCAGGGCTTAACTTGAAATAAGCTACTCAAATTGAGCTACGGCAATTGCTTAGCTTATTTCGAAATAGCTTATTTTGGGTGTTGGTGCTGTCTACACAGCACTAATTTCGAAATAGAGCACTCTACCTCCGACTCCCTTACTCCTCATAAAATGAGGGTTACAGGAGGGGTTGGAGTAAGAAATCCTCCAGCTTGACAGTATTTCGACATTGTGTCACAATAACTGCTGGCTGTGTAGGCGCAGACTATGCTATTTTGAAATAATGCTAGTTATTTAGAAATAATGTTGCTGTGTGGACATAGCCCTTGTGACCTCAGCTCTTAATTAACTTTATCTGCAGTTTTGCACCCACATTTGGTCATAATTAGACTCTGTTTTTAAAACCACATGATCTCTTAAAATTCTAGTCATAAACTTACCTGGACAAACAGGCCCTTGTATTTTTTTTAAAATGCTTTCACTTATGCTTTGACTTATACAGCCTCTTAATGCAGTTTACAAAGAGCACCTAATCCTTCCAGCACTTTACCAAGAGGGAAAAAGGAAACTGAGGCTCGGATGACCGAAATACTTGCCTCTGGCTATATCAGTAAATCTTGGCTATCAGTCTCCCCATCTAATCAATAATCCATGCTCCTTCCCAGTTGCAAACAATAGGGAAGCACATTCTGCTCTTCTTGTTCATGCAACTAATCTCTTTGGTCACTGCAACCACTAACATAACATAAAAACATAAGAATGGCCATACTGGGTCAGAACAAAGTTCCATCTAGCCCAATAGCCTGTCTTCCAATAGTGGCCAGTGCCAAGTGCCCTGGAGGGGGTGGACCGAAGACAATGATCAAGAGATTTGTCTCATGCCATCCATCTCCAGCCTCTGACAAATAGAGGCCAGGGACACCATTCCTACCCCCTGGCTAATAGCTTTTTATGGACCTAACCTCCATGAAATTATCTAGTTTCTCTTTAAACTCTGTTATAGTCCTAGCCTTCACAGCATCCTCTGGCAAGGAGTTCCACAGGTTGACTAAACGCTGTGTGAAGAAGAACTTTTGCTTATTAGTTTTAAACCTGCTACCCATTAATTTCATTTGGAGTCCTCTAGTCCTTATATTATGGGAACTAATGAAAAACTTTTCTTTATTCACCCTCTCTACACCACTCATGATTTTATAGACCTCTATCATATCCTCCCTCAGTCTCCTCTTTTCCAAACTGAAAACTCCCAGTCGCTTTAGCTTCTCT